GCGAATTATTAGCCTCTGCCGGAAGCAAGAAAATAAATAGTTAGGTCTGTTGTGGGGGAATAGCGATGAATTCAGCAATACTTTAGGGAATAATCATTTGCATAACTCATCGGCTCATAGTCCTCCAATCAGATCTACCACTCCAAGTTGCACGCTCCCGCCAGTAGAGTCACATTTTCACATTTTAATATAATTGTCGCGGAGGTGAGGAGTGGCTTGTCCGTCGGCTGGGCCTGACATTCTGAATCAGAAGCGCTTGTTCGTCCGTCCCCGGGGATAAGGAGAATCGCGTTATCCGATTATTACGATACTGCTCTTGTCCCTTTTCGCGCCGGAAGTTCCATTGTGTCATGGGGCGGGACCGAAGAACCGGTGGGCGGAAGTCTGCGAAAGACATTTCGATTAACTTCGCGGCGAGCGGTCCTTTATGCATACGCATTCCCTTTACTTTCAGCCATAACCTTTTTTTCTCTTATGTTTCATTCCCACACCCGCACGTTGTTACTCTCATCGACGCTTTCGACCGCTCCAAATACTGCGAAAATCAATATTTTTTTTTTTTTTATCGATGTAATGGTGAAAATGATATATGATCTGCTAAATTTTACGAATTCTTCCACAGTTCATTAATCGGTGAATAGCCAATGATTCGAGATCAATCATTATTTATTTACTGCATTATCTAATCGACCCAAAACAATGTCTACTTCATTTTTCTATTAATTGATTAAAATATCTCTCTCTCTCTCTCTCTCTCTCTCTCTCTCTCTCTCTATCGCATTATTCTTATTAACTTAATAGCTATAGATTTTTGTATTTTTACGTATTTGTAAAATATCTAATTATTTAAATTTAAATTATTCTAATTGGAAAAATTAATTTCTAAAAGTAAGTAAATAATTGAAGCGTTCATAATAAAATAATTGATAATGATTCAGAATTTTTTCCTTTCTTTCCAATCAAGCAATTAATAGTCATTATAAATAATATATATATATATATATATATATATATATAATTAATCTTGATATTCAAAAAATGTTCAATTCAATTTTTTTCTTTATAAGATCTTTATTGTGGTAAAATGTTTCATGTATAAATAAAAGATCCTCTTTCTTGAGTTAACATCAGAATGCCGACACAATATTACAGCATTTTAACGAAGAAATCCTTGCAATTTAATTCTCGATTCAAGCTCCCATAGTGTTCTTAAATAGAAGAAGAAAATATTTTATAATACTGTTACTTCCGTAATTTTTTTTTTTTTTCTCATCGCGTATAGAAATTAAGCAACAAAGGAAATTAATTTATACGAATATAAGCCTTTATGTGATGGCTGGAATAACATTGGAATAATTTTAAGACTCACTAAAATAATCGTATAGATTAATAACGAATATCGAGGACTTGGCATGCAATCATTATAAAGCCCCTTAAGCTCGAGAAAAGTCTATTATGAAAAGCCTGTTTCCCCTTTCTCATGAGCATGTGCCTGGAAAATTCAAGCTAATGCGAAGTAATTATAAATAAAATTTGTGTCGCGAGTATATTATGCCCTCGACTCCGAGGTATTTTGAAGCCAGGATTTCCACTCGCGTGGATCCTCTCTGCGCGATATCTCGTGGTAAAAGGTCCTCGACAAAGAATGATAACAAGGGCTGGAAATAAGAAAGCAAAATAGAGAAGGCGAGAGAAATAGAGAGTTAATAATCAAAAGAGAACGTTAACAAAAAGTTTACAGAGGAGAGGCAGAAAGGGAGCAAACGAGGAAATTAAGAAAGAAACAAAGCTCCCCGGTTAGCAACCCTCCGGAGGGGTGGCTGCACGAGGAAAATTAAAGAAAAATAGAGTCTTCCAGAGGCCAGCACGAAGAGCTGCGTTTAGCGGAAAAATGCTCGCGTAGCCTGAGGCGAGCCTTAGCCCTGCACCCGCGCACGCACACGGACACGGACACGCACGCACAGAAAATTGCTCGTACGAGCTTATGAGCTCGTGGAGGACAGAGCGAGGTTGGCATCGCCCCGTAACGTCGTGGCGGCGGAAGCCACACGCGCGCAAAACTCCTTATCCCCGTTAACGATTGCAGCGCGTGGCCCTCCCGCGTCCCCTTCCCACCGCCCCCGCATAGCGCTTCACGCCCTCGTCACGGCCCCACCCCTCTCCCCACTCGCGGCATTCTCGACCGTTCCTACGTCGCTTTACTAGCAGGACACTGTTTGCCAGCGCGTGTGTGTGCTCTCGCCCGCGCGCCCGCCAGCCCTTCTGCGAGGAAGAAGGTAAAAGCAATGCGCGCTAAAACAAAAGACGGCTGTATAGACATGAAGCCCGCTGCTGATTGGCCAGTGGAGTCGAGGCTCGTCGCGCTGATTGGCCGCTACGGGACCGCACCCACCCTGCAATGGCCGCTTTGTTGCTGGCGTATTCTCTCCCACCCCAGCCCGTTTATTCGCTCTCGCTCTTTCCACTGTGCCCATGTGCACCTATTTATTTTGCATGCGTGCACCCATGTATGTAGCCATATAAGCACGCGCGCGTGCACATACGCACGTGTATGGTATACAGTATATGTATGCATGGATTTAGGATCTATAAAAGCCTATTATAAATCGTCTCGCTTGATTCGCGGTTTTCATCGCGAAATTCCGGTAACTTCTCCTCTTTCTATGCGATTTGCTTTATTATGCGCCCATTGCCACTTTACTTTCCTTCCTCTTCTTCTCTCTCATTCTCAAGTGTGGACCGCGTGGGGCGAACTTCGTAGCTGTATTTGTATGCATATACGTTATACGATTATATAAAAATATAATAATCACACGCGGTTCTGCCCTCTTTCCTTTTCCATTACCCTTTTCCTCCTCTTTTCTCTCTCTCTCTCTCTCTCTCTCTCTCTCTCTCTCTCTCTTTCACTACCCCTTCCACTAACCATATCGCTCTGCATCCTTTTCATCCAGGCTACAGTGGTTCTTTGTGTGCGTTAGAATTTACACATACTTTTGACCATTCTTGCCTCTTCGTATACGAATGCGTGCCAACCTATACATGAAATGCAATTGTTTAATTCGTACGTTTACGCAGATGTGGATTTGTAGGTGGGAGGAAAATATAAGGGTTGAAAATGTAAAGACAGTGGTAGATCCGATTGGTGGAAATCAGAATTAATAAACGCAGTTGGGAATTAGAGAGGAATGAATAATCTCAGCCGAGATTCACTAGAAATAAATAAACAACACCAGTTGTGTCTTCATATCTTAATCACTGTATTGAACGTTTGAGGAGCAAGTGATTTATTTAATGTAATTATTATTACTCGTTAAATTAGTCAAAATTATCTAACCCTTACAAAGTTAATTATTTTTGCTTATTTATTGTGCAACGGAGCATAAATTTATATTGAATTCTTAATGCTTCAAAATAATATTGTAGATATAATATTAAAAATGACGTTGATGTCTAATATGAATCATCACATATTTAAGTAAAAAAATTAACATAATTCTATAAAGAAACCAATATATTATATCATTGAGAGCAAATTATTTATTCTGTATTGAATTAAAAGCATGAGTAATAATATCATATATATATATATATATATATATATATATATATATAAATTAAATCTTTTTTAATATATATTTTAATTATATATAGAATCTGTTGAAATTCAAATTAATGATAACTAACAAAAAAAATTTTAATAATTTTTTATATAATAACGATGACATCGATAACAAAATATTATAATATGTTCAATTCAATTCCAGAATATAATTGGAATTTAGTAATATAATTTCAAATCGATAATAAAATTTCAACATCATACTGATGATTTTTCATCAGAATAAATTGCACATACGTATGTGAATATCATCGAATGAAATATCGAAAGCTGTTGGAAGTATAATTCAATTAAAAAATATTTTTTAAATTTCATCTTATTAATATTAATTTTTATTCCTTAAATTGAAAATACTGATTACTTATGTATCTTTAGGAAGTCAACTTTTGTGTACATGATTTATTAGTATTTTATACAAATATATAAAGAACAGAATCATAAATAAATGTAAATATCAAAATAATTATTAGTGTTTATGAAAATTTTACAAATAATATTTAAAAATAATTTAAAATAATATTTATGTTAGCATGAAATTTTTATTCTTAAAATAACATTTTATATTACGTAAAAATTATTCGTTAATATAGGCATATAATATCCATTAAAAATGTTATTACAAAGTATTTTATAATTTTTGTTAATGGAATGTATGAATTTAAATATTTTTGATGAATATAACGCAATAGTGTACATTTATTTATAGAAAATTACTATTCGTTTAAAATATAATAATCACAATAGTAATTTGATACTCAAATGACAGATGTACATCAGTTAATTTCAAAATGAACAATCTAAAATAGCTTAATATGTTTATACTAAAATATTATATACATTTCAAAGAAATATATGTAATTAAATTTTTCATCTAATATTTGGTAAAATTAATAATATGCATCTGATATAAAATGGTAAATATAAATAATAAAAAATTCTGATCTCAAACTATTTACATATTTATTTATTAATTTTAAATATAACTTAAGTATAATAAGAATAATGATAGTTTAGTATATTTAAAATTATTTTCATTGCTAGAATTTTATTTTAATAATAACATACCAAATTTAATTCCTGATAAATACAAGTGACTTATGCTGTTTAACAAGTATAAATTATTTTATTATTAATTTTATCTATTTATTCATTATCCAGTAAATGACTAATAATATCAAATAGATTGATAATTAAAATATGAACCAAGTAATTAATAAATTATTATAAATTTCCATTATTAAACGCTATTATTTGTAGTGATTATATTGAAATAGCGATTATTTTAATGCTAAGTAAAGGATTGATGTTCATAGAAATTTAGCAATTATGTGATAAAAATTCTTACCTGTATCCTATCTTCAGGAAGATCCGTCCTAAGACTCAACATTTCACGCGCGTAGACGTCAGGATAGTGAGCCTCTTTGAATGCTGCCTCCAATTCTTCCAGTTGCTGAGACGTGAAGATCGTCCTGGAGCAACAACCACATGAACCTAGTTATATGCCATTACAACTCCTTCCGTAAGTCTAAGTCCCACACAATTTTTCTTTTTGTAATTTTTTTTTTTTTTTTTTTTTTTTTTTTTTTTGTTTATTTATCATTTATTGAATATCACAGTCAACCTTTCTTATTCCAAACAACAATATTATTCGTTCTTATTTTCGTGATTTTGATTTTCATACAGATTGCTTGGAGTTCCTTATTTATGGATAATAAATATTTATAGAGAGATTGTATAATCCATAATGTCGAAAACAAAGTAACTGGATACGAGATTTTTACTTTAAATTGAAGGATTAGTACTGGTTAATTTTATTCAATGCTTATCATCACAAAATTATCTTTCCGGTGCATTTATCAACGAATTTATTAACGTAATCACATATATCATTCATTATTCAATCATTAATCCACGTTATGGTAAATTCTTTCGTTTATCTAGAAAAATTATCAAAAGATTAACAAAATCAACATTTCAAAATTCGAATGCACATTGCCAATATTGAATTATAGATGATATTCAGCTATAAGTTAAATGTTACATATATGGAGTTTGATCGTTACTCTCCTTTAATTAACCAAATCACTAATAATTTAACAAATCTAATTATAATAAAAATTTTAATATTTTTCACTATATTATTCAAAATACTATTTCTCATATACTTTCTATAATTTCTTTTATATCTGAACTATACCTATTAACTACTGATTTATTTATTTTTTTTTTTTTTTTTTTTTTTTTTTTTTTTTTTTTTTTTTATTACGTTTTATTTAATACGTTAATCCACGTATAAATAAAGTATGTTAAGTGAGTTGTGTAATAATAAGTATAAATTGTCGTTTTTAATTAATTCTCTGAGAAAGTTATTTACGAGTGAAAAAGGCGGGTAAAAAAACTATAGCTTAAAATAACAAAAATTAATAGTCTGTTTAAGAACTTGCTCCATATGATATACGTGTGTGTGTGTGCGTGCGTGCGTGCGCGGGTGCATTTATGTGTGTATCTTTTGTCTCGGAATAATCAAAGACGCCTATTTCACGCTCCTTCACAAGATAAGTAAATACGAATGCAAACTATTGAAATAGAAAGAAGAAGACAGAGAAACTGATGAAAGACACGAGCAATCATTATCGACTCGACAAATTGCCGGTTGTCCGCAAGGATGCAGATGGACACGCATCTGTCAGGCGTCAAATATCCCTTTTTGAAAATGAAAATCATTTCCCGTATGATCATCGCCTCATTAAATGCATGACAACTATAAAAAGTTTTTCATCGTTTAAAACGCCCATATAATTTTAACGGGCGTAGATTTTATTGTATATAACGAGATCCGTAAAGTCGTTGGAATAAATCTTTTATTTTCTCTTGTTAGCTCATTGGACTTTCTTCTGGTATTTAATGAGGGATTAAAATTTAAATGCTTATTTGTACAAATTTATCGAATTATTTTCCAGAGAAAAGTCATCAGATTTAATTGCATTTGAAAATTTTGACAGAATACAGTCTACCTGTAAAGTCACGAAATAATTAATGTAGATATCATAATTAGTGAAAAAAGGTTTTCGATAAATATTCGTTGAAATTTTGTTGACATCCTGATTTTTTCTGCACATTATTTTTTCATAGTATCAAAACTGCAATGCAATCGATACTATCAAATTATTAAAATTAGTGTATTATGTGGCGAACTATAAGAGTTGTAATTAAAGTGTAGTAGTATATAAGCTTCACGAATGTAATTAAAATTAATATTCTCATAGTATTGCAACTGAATAATACTTAAGTCTGCTAAAAAGAGTTGACTTTATATTTAATCAAGAGTTTTTAATGATCGTACATTACTATACACGAATATCAATCGTCATATATGTGTTTAAAAAATTCAATAATAAGATTATTCGTATAATTATAAAAAGTTCATTATAAAACGTTTTTCGTTCAAGCAGAATCGTGTAGAGTATCGGTACATCAAAAGGAATAGTAAAGGAAACCCCAGCAGCACGAATAAAGAAAAGGATTCGTAGACACGAAATCTTTTCAAAATGGCTGACGATGTATAGGAGATGCATTAGTTCGATCCCAATAGTGTAACAGCATGAACATAACATTACATAAAGTGGATATAATTAAGATCTTATTTTCTGACATTGAATGGATGCTATTATATAAATTCTAATTTTTATATGAAATTTATCCGAAAATTGTTATATGTAACATATTGTTTGTCATAATAAAATCGTATCGCTGTAACACCGACAAATAACACGAATTTTAATAAAAACTTGACATTAATTTTTGGTAAATGAAAGTTTCATAGCGATAATAACAAAATACTAATACTAGTGTATTAAACAACAAATCTTCCTTATTCTGAATCTATATAAATATATTAAATAAGTTAAATTAACATTATGTTAAATAATACAAATAAAAGTTATTATCAGGGCCTCACCTATGTCGACGCTTCTTCTTTTTCTTTTTACTAAACCCTGAAAGTCCGTCAACTGTAAAGTCTTTTCCTGATTCAATGCTGTGGCCAATACCTAAAACACGCAGTAAAAAAAAAAACAAGTTAAATATTATATATATTAAATAATAATCATATCTTTGTTTATTAAATTTATATTAATTTTTTAATTAGCTTAATTGTTTCATGTTGGAAATAAATTATATAATTAATTTTGTTATTTATAATAATCATCATATATAATACTATGACATAAAATTATACAAAAAAAAAAAAAATTAAACACGAAACTGTTATGATAAATAAACAAGGAAACATACGAAATCATCTCAGGTAAGAAAATAATTTTTTTATAGGCATTAATGATATTTTTCCGGTAAGAATTATATAATTTAGTATAAAGTGACTGATTATAAATATTTTTCGTTACATATTTTAAATTTCAGTATACATATATATATCTATATATATATATATGTGTGTGTGTGTGTGCGTGTGTGTGCGTGTGGGTGTGCGTGTGTGTGCGCGTGCGTGTGTGTGTGTGCGTGTGTGTGTGTGCGCGTGTGTGTGTGTGAGTATATATATACATATTGATCAATGGGTACAAGTAAATTTTTAAGTATTTTCTGGTTTACAACAATCTTAATGAGTTACAAAAATTTAAAATTACTATCAGTTTGGTATTCAATTACGTAGTGATGTGAAGTTAAATATAATTGAAATTTTTATGTTAACAAATAATTTTATTCGAAATTCCATTCCATTATATTTAGATATTTAACTAAAGTAAGATCGAAAAATCTAAGGAGTTTCACATATTATATTCCAATATATAAAATATATTTGAGAAAATATTTTCAAAAATGTTATCTTCATAATAGTTTTTATGATTTTAATCTTCACTTAAAAAAATTTTTTTAAATATGCAATGATAATGTATTTTGATAATAATTAGTATTCTTTAAAAAAAATAAAAAAACAAAATTCCTCTTAATCTATTATGAAATATCGATTAACCATCTCATAAGAATTATTATTATAAGATAAATAAGTAACACAATGATATGAAATAATAAAGGAATTAATATAGTAAAAATGTAACGTGATGTGTCTACAATAAATGTCATTATTGCTATGAATCTCATTATGTGATTATGTCAGAGAAGGAATGTGGTATTATAATTTATACTACAATAATTATTATTATTAGTATTTAGTATACAGGATCAAGTTGGTTGACTATTATATTACTGGCGTACCGATAACTATAATAACTTCATACTAATTGCTCTAATTGAGTCAGAAAATTTATTTCCTGTTATGTAATGTAATTGTCAATTACTTATATCATTTACAAAAATTTTTTTTGTTATAAGCTTACGATAATTTTGGTATTTTATTAAATATAATTAATAATGTGAAAAATAAGTATTTAAAAAATTGAATAGTTTGTTTAAAATATATTTAAATAATTTAGGTTTTTATAATAAATATTATAATTGGAAATCGTAATATGTTTGCACTTTAGACTTTAATATTTGTTAAGATATAAATTATAATTGCTGATTGTTTGACGGAGATGTTACAGACGATGATGAATGAAATTTAAGTGTTTAGAAAGACTATTTAAATACTAGTTATATTTATTTATCAACAATTAAACTAATAGTTTATTAACTATTGAATCGGTAGATGCCGATAAGCACGCGGATCCATTCAAAATAATTGAATGTACAGGGAGATACGTATTTACATAAAAGCCATTAAAGCCAGCAATTTCATCAACCTTTTTTGCAATTCTTCTTTTCATGCGCATAAAAAATAGGTGAAAAAGCTAAACTTTACGTACCAATTACGTCAGAAGCTTTAAAATTTTAATTACCGGCCTAACTAATTCCGTGCTAACGAAATTGGCAGCATGCGTTTCTAACAGGCTGAAGCAAAAGCACACATGCGCTGTCAATTCACCTTTAATTAAAACTGGCATAGGAAAGGCAAACAGAATTTGAATTTAAGTGAAGAAACTAAAAAACTGCGCACCCATAAGCACAACGTGCCACCCGCTTATGCGCGGGCCTTTGAGTATCGGCGATGTGTCGCACGCCTGCGTATCAACTCCCCCCCCCCCCCCCCCCTCTCTCTCTCTCTCTCTCTCTCTCTCTCTCACTCTCTCTCCCCACGCCCCACCCCATTCCCCGACCCATCCCCTACCACCGCCATCTTTAGGCACAAGGACGCTGCGAACACACAGCTAATTAACTATTAATTAAGAGCTTAATCCCAATTATCTACGTCTGGACTAATTGGACTCTGCGGATGCAGGCTTATTATGCCCGTCGTGCTCAAACTCGGGAAAAGCGTCGCTTCCGATTAGAAACGGAGGCCGAGCTTTTTGTAAGCGTCCTTGTCGAAGGCAATGCTCGTCTTGCGCCTCTCTGTCCTGACTTTTACATAAATGAACGACGCAGCCATGGATTAAAAGCCGTCCGCGGACCGCACAATGAATTATTTCTCGCTTGAGTTTCAGTGGCGCGACGCTCGGCTCGAGTCGCGCGTCGTTAGCAAGCAATGAGCCGTACATTTTAATCATAATTTTCACAGCCCTTATTAGGGAATTATGAATAAGGATGGAGATGAATTTTAAGACAAAAATAACGGCCCAGGCTATGCTCTATTAAATTGCTCTATATAATTGCTCGAGGCATGATGTTGTTGCTTTATCATCTTTTTTATCTCTTTTTTATTTATTTATTTTATTTTTTTTTCATTAATAATTTTCAACGAAATTACTATTTATCCAGATTATTGGTTATACAAATGCTTTATGTATTAACCGCAATATTAGCCGCAACGATATAATTTACGACCGCTAATTTTACTACTTAAAATTACACGTTTTTATATGATTTGCTGTCTAATTCAACATTCTCGTGATATAGATCGATCAAAGATCATAGAAAGTGCATGTGTCGACTCTTAAAATGCATTCGAATTCTACTCAATTGAACATCCAAATATTATTGTCCAAAATAATTTTTTCTCTTTAAATATGAAATTTAATTAATGTTAACTCTTTTAATTGAATAAAGTACTCGATTTAATTTTAAGCACGTTCATTATTATTATAATGTTTATAATTTGCAGTAATATTGTAAGCTACACAATCTATTAATATTTAATATAATAATATATAAATAAATAATTTGTACAATATTTAGGAGACATTGATTTGATTGTTAATTGCTTGTATCGTAGGAAACATTAAAGCTGTCGTAGAGCGTGCGCAAGGGACGACTCTTATAGCTTTTCGACATTTTTGCCTAATCGCGTCACACGATTCACGATAAAGCCCCAACCTGTCACACGCCACATAAAGACAAAACAAATTGGTTGATTATGTATTTTAAAAATTTTACCATTGGTAGGAGAGGATTTCAAGGAAGATAGACCACGAAGCATATGCCGCTAACATTAGCCAGTCAAACCATAAGCAAAGATTGTTTTTAAAACGACCCTTTTTAAGCCACATAGTTTTTCTTTTTTTTTTTTTTTTTTCCTTTTTTTTCCTTTTTTTTTCCTTTTTTTTTTCCTTTTTTTTCCTTTTCTTTTCTTCCTAAACTGACGTTCTTTTCCTCATCCATGCGCCCCTCTTATGCCTCTTCGTTTTCTTACTTTGTCAAGTCTCCCTCTTCCTTTCTCTTTCTTACTCGATCTTTCCTATTCTATGTGCTTTGAAGGGAGCCTTTATAGTTTCAGGTCAGGATCAATTTCTCGCTGCCCATTTTTACTTTCTTCTTTTTACCTATTTCCACCCTATTCGTTTTGTTGGATTGTAATTTTCATGACTAGTATACTTTACGATTATGTCGACTATATTGATATTTACTGCATTCAGCAACTTTTTTCCGTTTTTTTTTTTGTTTTTTTGTTTTTTTGCTTTTTTTTTTGTTTTTGTCAATTTAATAATAGAGGTAATAGTTTTATGTAAAAATATAAATACTTGAAAGTTTTCAGAAATTTTAAGCTAGCCTAGAGACTTCATCTGGACATTCTTTTTAATTTAAATTTAAATTAAATTACGACAAATTGTATGTACAATTAACGTTTGAAATGTCGAAATTCATTTTTAAAATTTTTACATTCCGCTAGAAGCAATAACGACAATTCATGATATAATTTCTAAATTATAATTAAAATGACAGCATTGGAAAAAAGAAAAAAATTAAATTTTTATTCTTGTAATATTATAACAATAAGGCGAAAATTTCTTTTCACGCATTCTCTACGTATTATTAAAATTTTCATTTAAGCAAAAATAAGTTGAGAGACAGACAAATAATAAAATTTAAAAATATACTTTTCGAAAATACTTTTGTGCTAAAAGTTTTCTGTAAGAGTATATAAAATTGACGAGTTTGAGGAAAAAAATGCTTACACCATTCGTATTGATCGACAAATTGAAAAATTTGGTCGTCAATAGTGATGCATCACGTAAAAATAGTCCAATTTTTTTTTCATTTTTCCTTTTTTTTTTTTCTTTTTTGCTTTTTTTTCTGTCACAAATAACGTACGTCGCTGATGGGGAAAAATGTATATTTGCCATGTTAAGTGCGAGGCATAACGGCTTCTGGAATAATGTTCGCGAGATCTTCTAACACTTTAGTACCATCAATTTGAGTGTAATGCCGGCATTGGATTTTTCTGATTCTCTAATTTTCTTTTCTCTCTATTTTTTCCCCTTTTTTGCTTTTTCGCAAATCTCGTGTGTGAAGAATAATGTGTAACAGAACAAAATAAAGGATATCGTTGATGCATAATCGTTAAAGGAAAGATTTAATCAATCATAAATTTTCATCAAATTTTATATAAAACTTAAGCAGTAGTTTAAAAAAAAATATCGTATAAGAAAATATTTTTAAAACGATTCTGTAAGTTTAATTAGTTTACCATTTTATAATTTTAATCCAATAAACGATTATTACTTAATATTATTACACGAGAAAATTGTTTGCACATAGGAACTAATATAATTTTATCAACTAACAAACATATTTGAAGTATATTTCATATTATTAA